AATGTGCCCTGGAAGGCAGAGCTTGTAAGTGATGAGCTTGGATATCTGGCTGAGGAGATTCCTAATAAAGACCTCAAAGGGGCCACAAGGTTTCTCTTTGCTGTTTATAGTAAAATAGAAGAGGAAAGAGGTGGACTTAAAATTGATCTATGCAAAATGAAAACAAAATTTAAAGATCTGGAAAATCCTCTAATACAAACCAAGGACACGTGTCCTGGAGCTGCCACCAAGGAAGTGACCGCACAGTCTTTTGTTAAAGAGATTAAACCTGTGACTGATGGCTCTAACCAACTGTTGCAGCAGGAAACAGCTTAGTTTGAGGGAGACGGAGAAATAGCAAAAAGAAAGAACACCATCTGCCTCTTGGAATTCTGCAGGTGGGAACAGGAGATGCATCTGTTATCCTCCAAGGAAGGAAAAGACCCGTCCCTGGACCAGTGTAGAGAGCAGCAGAATGCTGTGAGGAGCCCAGGAAGCAGAGCCCAGGTCTCGGGTGGGGCCCCAGCCTCTAGGGTCTCAAAGGGTCTCCTGGGTTTCAAAGAATCGGATCTTCAACAGCTTGGTTCTGGAGTGCAGGGCTGTGATCCTGTTACCAGAGCCATTAAGGGAAACGCTGACACCAAGCAGGATGATGAAAAGGGAAGGACCTTTATTTCTGGGCCCGGCACAGACTCAGTGGATTCACATGCAGAGACCGAGCCCTGAACGGAGCCGCATGGCGTTTCCATGGGGCTCCTCTTCTGGGGTATTCAGGGTAAAAGGGTGACTGGTTACCCACAAAATGAGCACCCGCAGCTGGCAGTTTTCACAGAAGTTCAATGTGCCTGAGCGGAAGTGAGGAGGGGGAGTGTGGGCAGAGGAGGAAGGGCGGGGGGGGGGCAGGGCAGAGGAGTTTCCCCGCTCTCTACATGGCTTTTCAAGCCGGATGTTTCTGGCCTCACAAGCCGTTTCACTGCTCAACAGAACTTCTCTATTTACATTGGGCAATGAATGGTCATAATCCCTTAATTTCCCTCTCCTGCCTCAATCGAGTTTTGGCCAAGAGGATGTGGGCAGCACTGCCCAAAGCTGACCAGGTGAGGCTGCCATCTCGAAGGGGCAGAGGAGTGGGATCCTCAGGGGCCGAGGGGTGGGTCCTCACTCAGATGGACTAAGAGAATGGGGCCGACAAAAGCCAAGGGAGCAAACTTGGCCATCGCTGTGGGCCCGAGGGGCAGAGCTGAGGCACGGGGCTGAGAGCGTGACCAGCACCCAGGGTCCGCAGAGCAGGGTCGTGGCCTAGATGGTCCCACGGAGGTGATTGTTTTCAAGCCTTGAGCGCTCATGTCGTGTGTCCTGCTGGGTTTGACCTTGCTTGGAGCCCGTTTTCCCCGTCTTTTCCTCCAATTTCTTCCATTTGTAGTGGAAGTGTCTGTGC